TTTTATTCCAACTTCTCTTGAATTTGCAGGGCTTCTTGGAGTAGGACCCAGACCAAACACCTTCAGTTATGCCGAGTTGAGAGCTGCAACAGATGACTTCAATCCCTCAAATAAGTTAGGAGAAGGGGGATTTGGTCCTGTATACAAGGTAAGCTATCGGCTTAAAATCTTACATCTGTTTTTAATGAGATCGAAGATTTATATGGCAATGTTAATAAAAAAAGCATTTTAAATATATTATAGGGTAAACTTTCTGATGGGCGGGTAGTAGCTGTGAAGCAGCTTTCGGTAGCATCTCACCAAGGGAAGAGTCAATTTGTTACTGAGATTGCTACCATATCTGTGGTGCAACATCGCAACCTTGTTCAACTGTACGGATGCTGCATTGAAGGAAACAGATGCCTCCTTGTTTATGAGTATCTTGAGAACAAAAGCCTTGACCAAGCACTCTTTGGTATGACTGAACAAGTTATTTTCTTCCTTTTAGCCTTTATGCAGGAAAATGAAACATATCTGCATCTTGAATTCGTTTCTTCACCAAATTAATCACCCTGCATAACATTTCCTGCTTCACATATGCAGGAAAAAGAGAGTTGCATCTTGATTGGCCAACCAGGTTCAATATCTGCGTGGCAACTGCAAGAGGACTAGCTTATCTTCATGAGGAATCAAGGCTGAGGATCATACACAGAGACGTGAAGGCAAGTAACATTTTGCTTGATGCGGAGCTGTGTCCAAAAATATCTGACTTTGGATTGGCAAAGCTATATGATGACAAGAAAACTCACATCAGCACCCGCGTTGCAGGAACTATGTAAGCTCCTTGAATCACTATATTAAAAGAGTATCCAAATGCTTATTTGCATTATATTATAGCTCATATATGTTCTTAGGTTTCATAGCATCAAACCATCAACGGAATCCAGAGACTTAGTACCATCGATAGAGAAATCATCTCAATAAACCTTGAACATGCAAATTTAATAGCTTAATTGCAATATTGGCAGTGGCTATTTGGCACCAGAGTATGCAATGCGTGGCCACCTCACTAAGAAGGTAGATGTTTTTGGCTTTGGTGTTGTTGCTTTGGAAATCGTCAGTGGAAGACCAAACTCTGACAACAGCCAAGACAATGACAAGATCTATCTTCTTGAACAGGTAAAGAAAGAAACTATGTTCTTTTTTCCTTCTTTATAGATGCATTCGTTGTGCATGAGATTTACTGATACAATGTTTCTAGGCATGGACTCTGTATGAAAGCAACCAATGTCTTGGGCTGGTGGATCCAACCCTAGTGGAGTTTGATGAAAATGAAGCTTTAAGAATGATAAGAGTGGGACTTCTGTGCACGCAAGCATCACCAATGATGCGACCACCCATGTCAAGGGTTATAGCTATGCTTGCTGGGGATATAGAAGTGAGCCCTGTTGCATCAAAACCAAGTTATTTAACTGACTGGGATTTTGAGGACATAACAGCCAGCATCGAGGCTGAAAACACACCATCAACTAGATCTGAGCACGATAATAACAACAACAAGAACGATCTTAATCCAGGGATAGAGCTGATGCCTTCTCCATTAAACATTACTGAATTCAGTGACACTATTGCGAAAGGAAGGTGAGAGATGTTTTTCCTTAAAAGCTCCATTTTGCCACTTCTCTTGCTTGACCTCTGCCACATATTTTCTAGCTCAATAAAATAGATACTGAAATTGTGTGAATTTCTGTCATTCGAATGCTTTCCTTTATATGTTGATCATTTCTCTTCGTGTAAATTGAACTGAGATATTGAAATATTGGCATGCAACAAGGCTGCAGTGTTTGTAACTCATGGATGTCATTATTATCATCCAGTAATATACTTCATAGCTATAGGATTGTTTGTAATTCCATGTAACGTAATTATGTCTTTTTTCTGGGGTTTTCCTCTTTGTTTTTACACACCACCTCTAGCACATGCCACACCACTTACTCCAGCCAAGATATCTGCTCCTGTGTTTACAACCGACTCCAAATCAATCTCAACAGTCGAAATAGCACCACATGACTCCAATCCATAGAGCCACAGCAGCACTTCTGAGTCTTTCAGCAGTGCCTTCTTCCTAGAGAAAGAATTCAATGTTGCACGAAGAACAACAACTGCTGCAGCGAACTCAGAAATTCGTAATATAGCATTCTTCGTAGCATGAGTGAGTCTCATGTTGAGTTCCCTTGTAGAGTCAACAACCTACCTCCAAAAAGAAAGCGGGCACTGAGCAATGTGTCTTTGATGCTTTTGCTGGAGGTGGTGGTGTGGCACTTGCTGAAAGGTGGACTGGCGGAGCTGTGGCTTCCAAGAGCCAGAGAGCTGCAGCACTAGATGGAGCTAAGGGCTGAAGAGGGGAAGCTCAGTGATTGCCTCTCACTGGATTGCTGAGTTGTGTATTTTTTTGCCGCTCACTAGAATTTCACACATCACTGGATTTTGTGAGTATGTAGGAGTATAAGCCAGGGCCCAGGGAGGAACTGGTGTATATAGGAGAAATACATTTTTGCATTTGCTGCATTGATAAGGTGCAGATAGCTTTGAGTTTTTGCATTGAGAAATATGCGTGGGTGTAGAATGTTAATGCATTGAGAAATATGCTCCATTGATAAGTGTAAACAGAGGTGTGTTTTCCTTCCCCTTGGTAGCTATATCAATCAGACTGGAATCATTGTGTGGAAATAGCTCAACATTAGGGGTTCAATGAAATAAAATATATAAGACTGCAGATGCGCCAATAGAAGTTTTTTTTTTTGTTGACTATTTTTGTAGGATCTCTGGATGCTGATAGGATTAAGGCATTTAATCTTACCTTTAATGATGTAAACAAGAATGATGCTCTGGGAGGTTTAGAGTTGGATTGGAAAGCTGAATTTGGGTGATCCTTTGTCCTTATATGTCGTAGACAAACTCTATTAAAGGGTTTACTATACATGTCACTTGGCAAGTGGCTATTATTATCTACATTCTTGTTAAGATCATATACTTTTATTAATATTTTATTAATTTACAATTTTTATTTTTTTAATAGTTAA